TACTTTCTCCTGCTTTTATGCACTTTAAACGCCTTGCGAAGAAAGAACTGTTGAGTTTTACTTAGTGTATGATGATTTAGTATAGCACATTGTTGTTTTCTTTTCCCACGTCTACCTTATGTAGCGTATGAATAAATAAAAAAAAATAATTAAAGCAACAGTCCAGGCAGGGTTTCAACTACTTGGTCATTAGGCGGTCAAAACATGCCCCAGCCCAACTAAAGTTTATAGGAAATGTCTTTAATTTCAAAACCTACCTCTAAAATGCGCTGGAAGGGGTCGAAGTCCTCTTGGAGGGGGCGGATCACCCATACCGAGGCGGATCGCTCAACATACGCTGTGCAGAGTCGCGTGCTTGACTAGCGGTCGTTGCGGGACCGCCGCGCTGTATGAGGTCGATTCCATAAGAACGCAATTGAAGCGCTTCAATTTCGATTGCTGGCAAATAGTTATGTATTTGCAAGCATGCATGGCTATTTGCCAGCAGTTGCAATTGGAGCGCATTTACCGGGCAGATTCGGACAACTCGTCCAACACACGTATTCCCCAATCGTTGAACGGCAGAGGGCATGTCCCTGTCTAAGCCCCAGTTGGGCGTTTTTTTCACTTTTTCTTTTACGTTTCGACCACTTTTCACCTACAACTTCCATATAGGTGCTTTTGGCCCGCAAATTCGTTCCTGGACTGTTGCTTTTAACATTCTTGCCAAGGTGGCAGCCTTGTCCCGCTTGGTCTCGCGAAATCTCAGAAACCACCCGGGTTTGACTACAATCATGTGTGCAACATAAACCCTCATAGAAGCAATAGTGGGACCATTGAAGAGCGTTGCGTTTGGCCGCCAAGGGTGTTTATAGCGCTGTAACAGCCAGTGGTCATGTTTTAGGGGAGAGCGAAATTCAAAGAGAAAATGATGTTGGTGAGCAATTGGTGTTCTCACATGCTTTTGAAAGTACGATATACTGTCGTGAATCAAAACTTTGCAGCAGAAAACCTAACTTAGTGCGCAATTTATGAGGTCTGCTATTTTTTTTTCACATGTAGAATCATACCTTCCTAACCAAGGGCTCTAAGGAAAACATGTGGAAGTTATTACGAGTAAAGGACACCTCTTAAAATTAATTGGTGAAACTGCCTGGCAAAAATCCAGTATATCAGAAATGGCCCGTTGAGGATGTTTCGCCAAAACGAGGAAGATTTTGAAGGCAAACGAGTTTTTACACTTTCACAAGACGTCCTTCAGAAGCACCCACTCGAAGAGAGGAATGGGGCGCTATAAAGTAAAGAGACTTGCTCTTTCCAAGAGTTACTAGAAATATTTAACAATTTTAGTGTCTCAAAACGGCATCGATTTTTGCTTTATCACTGCTAACAAGTTCTTTTCTTTTTGGCGCATTTCACACTTTCAACGACCGTACCTTCTTTCTTAGGTATGTTGTGCCAGAAGAAACAGGTTTGTAGACTATATGCTCTCCTACCTTTTAAACAGTGTAGACATTTTATGTAATCCGAAATCAAGAGGATGTACATATGCTTGTCAAATTAAAGTGTGAAAAATATCAATTCTGTCTCTTTGTAGTAGGCTCACCAGCCTCTCCGTAAACGCTTTTGATCTATTCAAACATTCCGACAGAGTCCCGATTGAGCTCATGGCCTTTCATTGGCATTCGTGGAGACGTGTCGTGCACAGTCGAATCAGCAACATCCAGCTCGATTCACGGCTCCAATTCTCTTACGAACAAGTATGATGCCTGTTCACTGTTGGTCCTGGCACTTATGACCTCCTTCCTCCACCGAACCAAGCAGGACCCTCTCTCTTCGATGCTCACTTAACCCTCAGTAGCATTATTTGGGGACGGACTGCAAGTGATCGCGGGTAATTTTTCGTGTAGTGTTGCGAGATAGCCCACATTGACAATGTCGAGCGTAGACCGTACTTGATGATCGACTATCCTCTGACGCCATTTCATTTGCAGATACTGGAAAATGCTGAGCGATATGGAGACGCTGTTGCTTTGGTAAGAGATTTAAGCAATTTGTGTTACCGATACTAATTAGCGTCAGCCGTCCGTTGGTAGTTCACCGAGGGGATCGTATTTCTGGTTATTGGATTCGGTAGTGGTGGCCCAAAGTCGTATTGTTCTAGAATGATAAAGAGTAGTTATCCGCGGGCCGACTGGGGATTAACATGGGCAATAATGTTGAAATTTGTTACTACATGACTCAATGCATTACTATGGGATTGCGTGCTCTGCCCTCAGGAGAATTTCGTCCAATTTCTCGAAATTTTCATTTAGCGTTGGCTCCGCTTACCAGGAAGGTCTTTCAGGGCGTGACGAGCTTTTTGAAAACGGTCTTTTGCATGATATAGGGGCAGATGCGGGAACCACAGAACCATGTTTAATTTTTCCTGAACGGCCCTCTGAATACCAGAAAAGGGGTCCCTAGTTCGATTCCTCTTGGTGACAAATTTTTGCATTTCGAGTTGACGTTCCAAAATTCGCGCAAAATGGAGTTCTGATTGTTCTGGTTGGTTCTAACTCCATTTTGCGCGAATTTTGGCACGTCAACTCGAAATTTTTTAACTTCGTATAATGTATTGTTTGGCAGAAATGAAAAATTTGTTACCACGAGGAATCGAACTAGGGACCCCCTTTCTGGTATTCAGAGGGCCGTTCAGGAAAAATTAAACATGGTTCTGTGGTCCCCGCATCTGCCCCTATATCATGCAAAAGACCGTTTTCAAAAAGCTCGTCACGCCCTGAAAGACCTTCCTGGTAAGGGAAAACGATTATATCTCTTCGTCGGCCATGTGCTTACTATCGCTTTTGTAGCACCGGGTATCCTGGGACCATGCAGGTGGTAATTGCGGACCACCTACGAATTTGGATGCTAAGAGGGTTGGGCAGGGAGTCGAACGGGCTAAAAAACCTGTTCGATTTTCTGTCAAGCTTGTTCTCACATGCGCAGGTTACGGGCTACTTGAACATTATTCCACGTTCTATGTCGAAAATGACCAGAGTGCAGACGGTTAGGGAACGACGCCTACCGCTGCTTCGAAGTGCGAAGCAAAGATACTAGCAGAGAGGATAGGTAGCTGCGGTGTGTTTGCCGTCAAAGCGACTCTTTCCGCGTTCACAGTTCCATATTTTTTTCGCTTCCGGTACGCTCATGTCCTATCAGCTTGAGGTCTAGTTCCAGTTAAAAGGCATCATAATGCAGCTTCTCAGCGAACTAGTGTGAACTTGAACATTCCAGCTTTTCACGCATGTCAAGTGACTGCCCTCACCCCCCACCACCGCCCCCTCCCCCTTGGCTCGGAGCTACATTACTGGAAGAAATAGCATCATGATGTCATCATTTGCCCCCCCCCCCGCTCGCGGAAATTGGAATAGACCTCACCGCTGATCATCAGTTCCCGCAGCGATTTGCGGTGCGAAACGCGGTAATATCGCTTTCTGTCCAAGCGAAACACACCCTCAAGCTGTCAGGGAGGGGGTGGCAGCAAAAGGACGGGGAGGGGCCATTTTTTGTATGGCTAAATCACAGCAGCAATTAGACAGAAAAAAATCTTATTTATAAAGTGGCGCCAGTTTCATACATATTGGAGAAGTGGGAGCGAGAATGATGCAACAAGCCGCTGGCTAAAGGTGTTTGTATGAGAACTTAGTAGGTTCGCTAGAGCCACTTAGTAGGAGAGGGGAGGTTTACATAAAGGGAAAGATTCAAGCATGTCATATACATTGTTGGAGGAGGATCCCACGAATAAGTGCAGAGGTTGAAGAAGGGGAAATATATCCAGTCGAAGAGCAGGCCACCCGTAAGAGTGACGACGAGCGTTTCGCAGCAAAGGGCATGCCCTCAGCGGTCTAGTAGGACCATAACAGCGCCGAGCATGCATCGCGTTGTCCCCCACCCTTCGTTGTCTGACTCTGCGTCCATTTAGTCCGAGAGAGAAGAGCGTTAGAGTTTGAAAAGGCACCAATAGGTGAGAGTAGTATAATCGGAAAGTTAAAGAAGGGGGACCAGTTCTCGGTTTTTGGGTCGTTTCTCTCGGTTTTTCTTCATCCTCGCATCAGTGACCACCTCTATCGAGGTTTTAATGGGCTGACTTTTCATTGTAAACACTGTCTTAAAGATCAGAGCCAAAAATAAGTACTAGCAGCAAACACGGTCGGCGAAAATAAAAAAAATCTCATATTACATTAACAGAGCCATGTGCAAAGGCAACGCCGAGAGAGAGATTTCGAAGAGTTAGTTGTCAGCAATTAAAGTAGTATGCCGTAATCTGCTGGCTAAGGAGCATCAAAATCCACAGATACCACCTCACTTAGGACGCAGAGTCTCGTCACATTCCTTACGTCCCGTGGTCCCCCGGAGCAGTACCGCGCTGGGGATGTGTCTCAAAATGCCGCAATCTTCCCCGACATAAATCTTGTTCTAAGATACTTATGGTGCTTGACCGACCACGCCAGGCTCTATGTACAACTCACCGCCTACGGCCATCTCAAGAACTGGGCACGCGCTACTTGGCCTGAACAAATGAGCACATTGACGTAGAGTGTGTAGTGTTTTTGAAGGGCACTGCAACGGAGAACGTTTATTTTTGGCGGCGTCCGATTTAGCCGCCAAGCGCTTCGCTGTTGCACCAGCGCCTGTTCCTGGGACAATCATTTGACAGCGATAGGATTTGCTGATAGCCCCAGACCAGTACAATTTATAATCCTCGAGCTACGCCAGGAATGAGGTTTCGTCCTGTTGCCGCGTGGCGACATCTGGTTTTTGAATACAATTATTGAATGAACATTTGCAGACTGATGATGAGCGCGATGTGAGCTCGTGAAATACGCCAGCTATCATTCCAATTTGCTAATCTACTAAATTCTCATTGGCTTAACAAAAGGTATGCTCAGCAATTGATATCGACAAGAAAGGATTTCTTCGCTAAAATTTCTAGGCTTTGGAAATCTTAAGTTTTATTTACCATCCTTATTCTTTTAGGCGAGCCTATTCTTGTCGTAGTACCGAATTCTGCATGGTATCCTGTTTTGTTCCTCGGTGCAGCACTGAAAGGATGTCCTTTGTCCGGAATCAATCACGAGTCAACTGTCGGTCCTGGCTTCAAATGATTTTACATTCTGTTAGCATTTTTCGTAAGAAAACCTGCAGAAATGTGGTTTTACAGAGGAAAGAACTTTCCGTTATATCCAATGCAGAGTGAGCCTGGAGCGGCAGTGTGCATGGCAGAAAATTTCGCAAAGCTAGAAGGAGTCCTTCCAGTACGAAAGGTAGGACTAAATTGGAAGCTGGGAATATAAGAGGGAGCTTGGGAAAACCATCAGCAGCTTATATTCGTGGGTCTTAGGGTGACTGGGTGAAACCTCTTTTGTAGTCTGGGCTTTTGCGTGCCAATTTGACTTGCCCGCTAATTCTCCAGGCCGCTTCAAATGATTTCTCATCTTCTAAAATTCACTCGCATTGAAACCGATCAACATCGACGGCCGATCTCAAGCCGCAATGAATAAAATATTTGAGAAGCTGTGGACAGTATGCTACTCTTACATGTTAATTATTCCACGGGTGTTACCAAGAAGGCCCACAGCATGTCGAAATCAGTGTAGCTTGCGTGCGCGGGATGAGCAGAGCAGCCTGGCAATGATGAGTTACCCGCAGGGTCAACCGTCACGTTGGACCGACATTGGACCGACGTTGGACCGACGTTGACCGCTCTCCGCGCCGGCATTCGCACTCGCCTTGCGCGAGCCGTCTGTGTCTCCGTGCGTACGTTCACTCTCGGCATTACTCTCACACGCTAGAGAGCCATGCGTTGGACTTTGTCCAACGGACGGTTGACCCTGGTTACCGCCTTGTCGCGTATTCAAACCCATATTTCCTGTAGGATGACGGGTTATGACATCCTGACGGATATCTCCTTTTCCTATTGCTCGCTTCACCCTTCCTACTGGTGGTACCTTCTTTGACTAACATCATCAGATAACAAGTGTGCACTGTCTGAACCAGAGGTTGACGCGTATTAGGTCTTTTGGTCCAAGTTGATTTTTGGAGTTGATTTTTGGATCATGAATACTGCCTCGGTCAAAGGAGAGCGTGTACGAGGCACCTCATATTTCACAGAATAGGCCAGAGTTCTTAGTTAGCCGAAGGAATTGATCCATTGAATTGCTGTGCAATCAGGAACCCCTTACCATACCGTTGGTCACTACATCAGCTTCCATTGGGAATACATCCGCTTGATGAAGATAGCAAATGCTTTCTTTCTCCTTCTCTTTCTGTTTTCTTCTTTCTCTCTTTCGCTGCAGAGAAGTCTCAAAGCAGAGTGTAAATTGAACATTTCAGATTATGGTGCTCTGCTCTGGGAAGGAAATGCTGCGAATTTCCCGGTGTTATGATGCTGCCTCGCGATTTGCCTCCCTGGGAAGATACCCTTCCCGATTTGTTTCGAGATATCCAACATGAACCTGACGACACGCTGTTGCTGCCATTCTCGAGCGGTACAGGAGGAAAACCTCGTTGTGTCGAGCTGACGCACCGCAACTATAGTGCAGCTACCGCCATCTTGAAAACGTAAGGCAGCGCCCAGAGTTGGCGTATCGTAAATGCGATCAGGCGAGTAGGCGATCAGGCAGTGATTCGAAATGAATGTCCACTTATCGATTAGGCGAATGAGCAAGCAGGCGATTAGGCGATCATGCGATAAGAAGATTGTATTTTGATCTATTACTGCGCCCACTGAGCGATCGCTAATCGCCTAGTCGCCCAATCGCATGAACAGTCGCGAACTCTGAACGCTGCGTAACGCTTTTGTGACTTTCTATCAGGAAGCTCTTTTACCACTTTCTTTCCATGCTCATTCCGCATACCTAAAGATGGGTTACTGTGCTTGAAAATAAGGGTAGATATGATAATTAGTAGACGATGACCAGGAACGAAAGAGCTAACAAAATGCTAGGAGCCTGCTGATTGTATGGAGAGAGACAGATGTACCTTCTCATCTGTCGGCCAGTCCCTATTATTGTATGGAGAGGCAGATACTGCCTTCATTAAAGCATCATAGAGAGCAGGCAGCCGATGGGAATACATCGATCTCCGCCCATATGATCAGCGTGCAATGCACTTTTAAGAGCCCTTGATAGTTTCGGTTGTTCTTTCTATTTACCAATCTGCTAATTTCTGCACCTTCTTTTGCTTTTGAGCGCTATACTCTGTTTTAGGGTAATTGCTGTTAGCACATTTAACCCTCGTTGCAGAGCCTTGTTTGACCAGCTTGTCGTGGAGAGTCGACGCCGGACAGTCGCTGTGCTGCCATTTTATCATGCCTCAGGATTTTGGGCACTTCTTTATTGCCTTCTTGAAGGATGTCACAGTATCGTAATGAAGTCATTTCATCCGATTTCTATGCTGGAGATTATTCAAAAATACGAGGTGTGTTTCCTTTCGATAACGAAATGTTTGAAAGAATGCATTGACAGGTACTTTGGTAAATAACTGGGTTCACCACTGGAATGATCTGCATACCTAAACTTCGGTATGATAGTTGTGAATTATTCGCAGTATCTTTCGCCTCTCATTTCTATCGATTTTGACATCTAGACAATTTGACATTTAAAGGCAAGAATCAGGATTAAATTGATGGGGTAATTCCACTCAAATGTGAAAGTAGGGATGGGAGGTGGACCGCCAGTGGAGAAAAAAGGAAAGAAAATCCTGAAATACACAGGAAATACGAGCATTTTGCTCTATGCTGTGGAGAAGTTCAAAAGACAGGCAGGGAGATGAGAGATAATGTGAGCGCGGAGAGCGGTAGAGAAGTCCGAGAAGAGAGAGCATAGCAGATCAACGCAGCGACGCAGACAAGATATCGAACGGTGGGCGGACCATGTTAAGTTTGGTGGAGTCTGTTAGAAGTCCATGGCGCCTAGGGTCCTAGTGACGCGTTTCGATGTAAAGGTGAC